CGCTATGATGTAATGTGGTGTGGTGGGGTTTAGTGGGTGGTGGTGTGGTGGTGATGTTGTAGTACGCTATGATGTAATGTGGTGTGGTGGGGTTTGGTGTGGTGTGGTATGGTTGTGAGATGTGGTGGGGTGTGGTTTAGTGTGGTGTGGTGTGATAAAATATGATTATTATAATGTACTAAGGTGTAGTGTGGTGGGGTGAGGTTAGTTTAGTTTAGGGTGATAAGATATGTTATGATGCAGTATTTTTGTAGCACAAAGCTCATGGTGGTGTATTGTGAATTACATCAATAATATTGAAATACAATTGCCAATGAACTAGAACTAACATTATGTCAAGAGATAATGGAAAATACTCTTATTACCTGAAGGGCAGAGAAGACTTTGTGAACTGCAAAAATGCCCTTGATAGAGTTGTTTAGTTCTTCTTTAGACAAACTCTTCTGTTCTTCAATGACCTGCAGTCAATATACATATCGGTATTCTTTATCAAAGATAAGTAGTATCTATAAGAACATGTGTAATAGGTAAATTACGTGCCTCATATGAAACAACTGAAAATGAGTGCCATGCAAACCTTTCACAAATTCAAATCACGTAAAAAATGAGCCAGCTCAACTAGAAACCGTGGAAAGCTGCTTTGGCCTGTATTGGGCCTCGTCATTTTGTACGCGACTTGAAGATGCACTCTTCTTCAGTCGTTTTATCTAAGGCTCGTAATTTACCTATTACTCATGTTCTTATATGATGTCTGAGCCCATCCCACACGACTTACCGCCTCATCTATCATGTAGTATTTATATGCAGCATTCGCTTATTCTCCTACCAACATTCTTTAGCAATATATAATTCCTAGTTTATTGGTCACACCTCAGCTTGTGTTTTACTATTTATAAAATGTATAGAAACTGAGGATAAAATGACTGCGTATAGGCACTACTCACCAGAGGATGACCTCTCAGCAGGGACAGAAGCTGTGTGACATTACCACTCATTGAACATAGCTCTTCTAAAAACCAGTCACCTTCTCTTGATGTCAGGTCTGATAGTCTGTCACCAGCAACTACAATACACCAAACGCAACATTAGAGGAGAGAACTATTACCCTGTAAATTAATTAACATTCCTATCATGTCTCTTTTAATTATTTTCAAAAGTTTTATAATCGTAAATATTTCATCAATTTTATTTTCAAGAACATAATTGGGATTCCTATTCTCGACTTTCACATCCCCATAATGCCTCGCGTCTTTGAGGGGTAACCAATCAAAAAACTGTCCCAAATTGAAAGGTTTCTTAATTGAATTTATACTAAGATGCAAAGGATTATAGGGATGTGAAAGTAGAGAATGTTTAAATAAAAATATGGAAGAAAAGAGCTGGGGACAAGAGAGGGATAACCTCCAACATCTTATTCCTTGAAATAAAGTCAAAATATTCTCAACCTTTAGCTGTGTTCTCCATCACTAAACATCTCTTGCTCTGAGAACAAAGTACTTTAACAATGACAGAGCTCAGGCATATGGTGGCACTGGGTTGGTTATCTGTAGAATAAACAATAATAAATATGAATGGTTTACAAACAATTGTCAGTTGGAGATCATACGATTCTCATGTGATCATCAGATGGTTGTCAAGGTGGTTTCACACTTGCCAAGTGACTGACAGATAAATGACAAACTAAGTGTAATCAGATGATTGTTGAGTGGCTGTCAGTCAGATGTCGAGTGGTCGTCAACCATTGTTTACCTGATACATATTTGTTAAGACTGGCCAGAGCATCATCAACAGCTTTACATAGAAATCCTGTCTCCACACTTTCTTGTTTACGACGTTCGCAAAACTAAGAGAAAAAAGATCTTAATTTAACAACACTTGAACTAAAATATGTTACAGGCCCCTTACTGCAATATTTATAAACATGTAAACTCTTGGTTTTTCGCTGTCAGTTAAAAATATAAAAGGTACCTACTGATTAGTTTTGATCCTCAGCAATGAAAAAAAATTTAATGTGTAGCATGCAGCTATCAAGATTGCATGTTTATGAAAGTGGCAGTAAAATAAGCATTGGAAAACCTTCCACTTGGAGTTGGCCTGTCATAAATGATGGTCCTGACTAGTAAACTGTTTTGGTGATGCTGTCAAATACCTTAATAAATTTGCTGTTCTGATCTGTTAGATTCGTCTGTAGTTTGACCTCCAAAGACATGAGGGAATTCATAGCAACTACAGACAATGGGTTGTCGGCGGTTTTTTCTGATTGTGCTCTGGTCTCTTCACTTTTCGTCAGAACGTCTTGACACCTGTAAAATGTCAATGTCAATCTACTTTAGAATGTAAACGTTACAAGTGACTTTTTCTATCTCAATTACATTTGACTATGGATTTTGACCCTGAGTCTTGTTTAAAGTGATCAGAATGCTCATTCATGAACCCCAACACCATAAGCAGACCACAGTATATTATGGATTCCACAAATTGGTGCTTTTATTTGTTATCATAAAATAACTGTAATCCCCCCCCCCCAGACATAATATAGTAGTCTTGCTACTATAATAGTATGTTCTTTATACCAACATTTTCAATTCCTTTTTAAAAAAACACTCACATCTTTGTGGAAGAATCTTGGACAATTTCTTGCAGCCAACACATCCATTCATACATCCTGTTGTGGTTGACGTAATTGGAAGGAAACTGTGATGTGACTGTACCATAGGTGTGGATTAGGTCCAAACATGTACGCTGCATTGCTCGTCTCTGGTGGAGAAGACTTCCAAGCTCTGATTCTAGTTGTTCGCACTGTAATAATGAAACATATTAATATCTTCTGATGTTGTCATTAGTTCAGTAACCTATGGAGGGGTTTAATTGACTCAGCCCCTCATGTTCATGTGAACCAGGCTAAATTGCTCGTCTCTGGTGGAGAAGACCTCCAAGCTCTGATTCTACTTGTTTGCACTGTAATAATGAAACACATTAATATCTTCTGATGTTGTTATTAGTTCAGTAACCAATGGAGGGGTTTAATTGACTCAACCCCTCTTGTTCCTGGCTGTGAACCTGGCTACATTGCTTGTCTCTGGTGGAGAAGACCTCCAAGCTCTGATTCTACTTGTTTGCACTATAATAATGAAACATATTAATATCTTCTGATGTTGTCATTAGTTCAGTAACCTATGGAGGGGTTTAATTGACTCAGCCCCTCGTGTTCATGTGAACCAGGCTACATTTCTTGTCTCTGGTGGAGAAGACCTCCAAGCTCTGATTCTACTAAAAAACTAAAGTAGAAGTAGCTTATTACCTGACTGACAATGTTTCCTTGACCAGCACCTTTCAGAAACTTAATGGCGGGAGCAAAACAAGGCACACCTAATCACATGATTCCACAAGGATGAAGAAAAATAATAGTTAATGATTTTGAATATTTACATTTTCAAACTTCAGTTGGAATTACATTCACTTTGGGGACTTCCTCAGGGTCCACCTTTTGAAATCATCATCGCTATCATCATCATCATCGTCATCATCATCATCAACATCATCACCGTCATCAACATCATCATCGTCGTCATCATCATTAAATAATGGACTTTGACGTTTTATTATAAAGCATATTGATTGTATTTTGATAACTTGATCTCTTCACAATGATAAATATAAAAAATGAAGGTTTGGCGCAGTTGTAAATAAAGCCTTACCAATATCCAAAGGTTTTAAAATGTCAGCTACCAAGACGGAAAATTGTGGGCTGTGTATCATCTCCATGGAAGCCTGAAGCCAATAGAATGTTATTAAAGGTTTGGTCTTTTGAATTTAGTCAAGCATTTACCCTCCAAACTTGAAAACAATATTCCAGTTTTGAATTCTTTGTTGCTAAGGCTTAGCCTTCATTTTGTGTAGAATATTCATATGTTTCACTGCCATAAGGATAAAAAAACAATAATAATAATTGTAACCGGTCGTTTCGCTACCACGCATTTTCGCTACCAGTCCTTTCGCTACCACCCAGAGTCCTTTTGCTACCATCATGAAGTCCTTTCCCTACCATTGGAAATTACCAAAACAAAACTTCGATGAGACTTGTAAAAAAGAAACATAGTCTCTTGAAATACATTTGTATAATTATGGTTTTGAAGCATATTTGGGGCGATCATTTCACGATAAGATCAGTGATAGTGAAGATCTAAACACGACCAAGGACAGCGTTCACTAATAGATTATTAGATTATTATTCACTAATTATTATTATAAGAATGTTTTTATGTGCTATGGAAAATGACAACTCAGAGGACGACTGATGACTGCATAAACATGATTTTTTTTCCAAAAACTTTTCATTATTATCCATATAGTATAAGGTTTCATGTTTACTCACTCATTTCCCCCTAGCTTAGTTTGTCTAGTTATTGAAATGTTTATTCTTCATTTTATATTTATATATTATTAATTTATTTAATTCTACTGTAAGAGCATTGGATATTAATGTAATGCGAAAGAATAAATTTATTATAAAAATTATTATTAACTAAATATATATCCACTGACATTGACATTTTGTATTCAGAACCTGAGGATGATGCAATCTGCATCGAAACGTTGTTCGCTTCTAATATAATACTTAATTTTGTAATTAGTAGTACACCTAAATTGTTATCGATTATTATCATTATTATTAATAATATCATCATCATTATTATTATTATTATTAATATCATTATTATTATTATTATCATTATTATCAATATCAACATCATCATCATTATTATTATTATCATTATTATTATTATTATGTGCAGTACTAAAACATAGAGATGCAAAAAATCTATGACCTGTATAAGGCGCACAACGTAACCTATACAGTCTAAAAGTAAAGTAACTACAATAGAAATCATGACCGTGAAGGAAGTTTTATATCTGATATAGATTCGTATTCATTTGCATAAACTTTAACTYGGATTTTCTCTATCATACTTGGTTTATTTCGTAAAGAATTCGGTACAACATGGGAACTTACATCATGAGTTTTTTAAGCCGTTCAATAAACTCGCAGATTGTGTTTTATCGGGTATAAAACCACTCGGCGACGGCTAGTGTTTTATACCCAATAAAACACTCCTGCTCGTTTATTAAACATTACATGCTATATGGAGCAAGTAAGAGATTATTATTGTTATTAATATTACTATTACTATTATTATCATTATTATTATGAAAAATATCAAGCTCGCATCATGATTTCCGTACCTAATATCTGTATAATAAAATATTATCCATTACCTTGTGTTGTGAGTGCCAGTTAACACACTCTCCAAGCTTTGCCTTGATTGACTGCAGGATAACATCCTGGTTGGACTTCATTTTGATGTGCTCATCAAACCTACAGGTATACGAACAAAACCTCTGTCACCATGACAATGACAATATGCTACAATACCACTGTTTCTATGGCAACCAAAGTAGCATAGTAGCTCTTGAATACTCTTAAAAATACCATCATTAAAAAAGATGGATGACAACGGTTCTGAGTATGGAAAGCATCGTTATAAATCCAAGTTTTGGATCAAAGACGACAAGATGTAGAAAGACAATATTTTGATTTTATTCAAGTCATACTCATGTATCAAAAATGATTACAGTAAGGATATTTATATCTGCAAGTTAACAATAGAGTATCACTTGTGAGGTCGTCAAACAAAAGCAGAAATTAGAATAACAAAACAAGCAACTCCTGGATTCGAGGCTAAGGCCAGACATTCTATACATTATGGTATTTTTAATAGTAATGAATTGCAGTATCTCAATGACATAGTAATGTTGTTGCCATGACAATTGAAACCAGTAACATCACCATGACAACTGCTGCTCTCAATATCATTAGAAATGTTTAGTATAACATTTTTTATATGAACATACTTTGCCTGCAGGGAGTGTAAGGGGTGGTTGGTGTTATTGACAGCTGACTGAAGAGTCTGTTGTTGTTCTTTGAGCTGGTCTAACATCACATCCATTGACTTGAGATGTTTGACTGATGCTGTATAGCTAGTTACAAGTTCTTCTTGTGCACTGATGGCAGTAAGCAGGTCATCCCTATATCGTTAAATAAAAATATAGGTGAGAAGAAAGAAGAGAAGAGAAGTGAAGTGAAGTGAAGTGAAGTGAAGAGAAGAGAAGAGAAGTGAAGAGAACAGAACAGAAGAGAAGCAAAGAGAACAGAAGGGAAGGGAAAAGAGGAAAATAAAATGGGCAAGGATAGAACTAAGCAATTACAACATGGTTGTTAGTTAACCATCTCCATAATCAGTTCGTAATCTAAGACATTAGGAAATAACAATACCTGTTAGTTGTCCAGTTGACTTTCATTTCAGCTACTCTAGATGAGAACAAGCTCTGTGTAACTCCTCTTTCCATTTCCTTCTTGTTTACCTTGTTGTCGTTCATTGCAGTTGTGCCGCCCCCATAAAATGCACTGGCAAAAGCATTATCATTGGCTGATGTCCAATCAACCAGAGGATCATAAACGAAAGCTTCCAGTAACGTCAGAAGGGTTTCTCGACCCTGCCGTAGGATCTTCAGCACCTGCTCACATGACAAGCGGAACATTCCCTGGAAAACAACAAATATGTCTAATATGAAAGAGATGACAGGAAATGTTTAGTTTTGCAGAAACAAGTCGCCTCATATGAGCTCAGCCGGTAGAGCGTCGGTAGTACAATTCCAAAGGTTGTGGGTTCGATTCCCAGCGAGGTCGGAATTTAATTTTTCCGAATTTATTCCCAAGGGTCTTTTGCTCAGAATAACCTCGTTCCCAAGCACTATAACTTATCTATATTTCTATATCTTCATGTATTTCATAAGTGCTAGGTGGTCCACATATTCTCGTCTTTACATCATATGAGCTGAGTTGGTTGGTTTTCTTTCTGACTCCAAGGTTTTTTTTTGGACCTCCGTTTATTCCTCCTTTCTCTTGAATCAGCCCTAACTAATAGAAACTGGTAAGAGCTGTGCTCTGGCGCCTTCACGTCCTTTCAGTTTGACCCTGTTGAGATGCATCACTGCTGTACTTTGTGGTGGTGATAAGCGATGACGTCTTTCACAGAGCAAGAAAGGAGAGGTCTGGCAAACCATGAGTGATGCCAATTCCAGGAAATAAACCTGAAAAGCTAGAGCTGATTGCACTGTTGCTACACCTGAATATTATTACTTACTTCTACACCAGTTACTCCTAGAGCTGTCTCAAGATTAGGTGTCATTCTGAAGGGAACCTTTTCTGGTACACGCAGACCTTTTCCTTTCTCAAAGCATACGTTGTAGTCAATGTGAACCACCTAAGGGAAAAAGAGCACATCATGAAATAGCACTCTTCCGAGATATGCTTTATTCATCACGCACAAAGGTCTCAGTATGAGGCTACATGATAAGCATATCTCGGAAGTGGGCTATTACATTCAGTCACATTTTAGACAACCATTTCATTTTCTTGTGAACCAATTTAGTTATAGTGTTTAAATTTTCTTACCTCGCCAGTCGTGAAGTCAATCAACATGTTATCAAGATGTCGGTCACCTAAACCAATAATGTAACCAATCATAGACATGACGGCAGTAGAACGAGCATAGGTTTTTGTCATATGCCACCATTCCAGGGAACCAGTACTTGAACACCACAACTCTCTGAAGAATTCAACACAGACTCAATAAGGAACAATAATTATTGTAATAAAAAGATATAACTAGCTAAAAACTAGTGTAAGTTTAATAATTGGTGCAATATTTACTTTCTTCCCACCCAGATAACTGCCTATTGCATTGAATTGCAATGTTTAATGTTCCGAAGATGACATTCAAAATACCATTATTATAGTCACTGTCATTTGTCATGTCCAGTATCATCATCATCATTAGCATTTATTTTCATCACCACCTTCACCACTTCATTACTATCATCATCCTCATCATCATCATCAACATTAGCATATATTATCATTACCACTTACCACAAAAGACAACATCATCATCAGAATTAGTCATTATCCTTATGCAATTATCATAATCACCATTCACTGTCAACATCATCACCATCATCATCATCCATTTTCCACATCATCACCATCACCATCAGCAGGATCATCATCAGCATCATCATAGGTTATGGAATGGGGTTGATTTATCTATCATTGCTTTCACCCCAAGTCCTAATTGACAACAAGCTGCTTAGCTACAGCTATACTTTGCTGCAGATTTTATCCATCTGTAATCAAACCTTCTCCCCAAGTTCTGAGGCCTCCACTTAGTGGCAAGGAAGAGGAAAGTGAAAAACATGGAGACCTTATCTCACCTTGCTAGAAGGTCATTGGGTGTCTCTCTGACCAATTCCTCTAGTACTGTCCTCATGACACTCAATGGCCACTCCTTGCGATCTGACTCCTTGGGGTCCTTGATACCCTAGAAATATTAACCCAAATGCCTTCTATTAGCTTTGATATATTATTGCAATACTTACAAATTACAACAGGCAATAATATCATAATTAATATAATTATAATACACTCAACAAAATTACTCGATTCTGATTGGACAAGAGGAGTACAATAAAATCCCAAATTGTGCTCTGTAGAGTCCAAATACACCAGTTTCAAATTCCAAATTACCGCTGTGTTCCTTGATTACAGACTCATTTGCACAGGGTTAGCCTTGAATCAGTGTTTAAATATTCACAAATACCAACGGTAAAGTAAAGAATGCACAACTTCAACATTACAAACACTATGATACTCGACGGACCTTGACTGGAACACATGAATATTCTGCACAAACTCAAGGCTAACCCTGTGCAAATGAGTCGTTAATCAAGAAACACAGCGGTAATTTGGAATTCAAAATGGGTCTATTAAGTTGCTCGTTTTTGTTGAGTTCATTATAATTAAAAAATCACACGAACTTCTCATACATTTCAGAAGTCATAGATACCTAATTGTACTTGAGATCATGCGATTTCCTATACTAATAATATTATTAGAATTTATTTTATTTCTTTATTAAGGGGTTAATATAAAGTAATAATATTATTTATTGATGATAAAATCCAACGCCCAGTTACCTTTTCTTTCAGTGCTGGAGTCATTTTACTGTAGAACAGCTCACTTGGTTTCATTGGAGGCTGAGGAGTCGGATTATTGCCCTGGAATGAGTCAAAATATTAAACTATCAGTAAAAAGACTTTTAGACTGGAGGAATTCTTTGTCTTTCATGATACAGTAATGATAAAAGGGTAAATTTTACGCTGTGAAAAGTTGRAAAAAAACGTACTGACGTTTTGGACACTCTTTTACTCCAATGAAGGACTAGCATCCAAAACGTCATTAAGTTTTTTTCATCTTTTCGCGGTGTATAATTTACCTTTTTATCATTACTGTTTCATTAGAATGGACTTTAATCTTAATGGACTTTAATGGACTTTAATCTCTCTCTTTTTATTATATGACAATTTTATATATAACATTTTTAGTATTTTATCTGTAATTTTAATTTATGTCTTATTTTATTCTTGTATATATTTTCAACAATTATTTTTGTTGCAGGGCCCTACTGAAAATCGCTTTTGCGAGCAGGTCTCCTGGATAAATTTATTATTATTATTATTATTATTATTATTAGAAACACTGATGCAGCTCACAAAAGAGTTGAGAATTTTTCATCCAATCATGAAATAGTAGAATTTCCCTTATTAAAAAAAATATTGTCCGTACCCCCTCTCCCCCAGGACAATGTTGGTCCCAGTAGGTAAAGCAGTCCTGTATCCCTCGAAACAACATTGTTAAGGGGGGAGGGGTTCGTTTTAAGGGGAATTTCTCATGTTTTTCTTGAAAATACCATCAAAACCAAAACTTTCTCAACATTTTTGACCAAGATTGTAGTTATCTCTTCAATACAGTTGACTCTCATTACACCCAACATCCTTGCACCATCACTTAATGAGCATCCACAATAGCATACATGTATTTCCTTATCTTAGTATTTCCCCCTGGGGATATTGCCCCTGTCATCTATAGTGAGGTGCCCACAAGATAAGAGTGACTGTAGCCAAGAATGAATTTCACACAAGTTGAAGATTGTTACATTCAATTAAATTGGAAAACAAACTCAAAGGTCTAATAATTACAGCTTTTCATTATATGACAGGATTAGATAAACTAGTATTAGAATAACTGGTTATTACGATGACTGGTTGATTGGCAACCACAGTAAGTAACCATGGTGATACTGACATGAAAGTACTAACCTGGGTAGATTTGAGTAAGGCCATTGTTGCAGCCTCTCTCTGTTGCCATCTTTTGTACAGAGCAAATAAAGGTACTGCTCCATCAACCCATTGTATGAGTCCAGATCTTGGTCCTAGGGGGGTCACTGAGTAGTGCCGTGCATAGAACAAAGGGCATCGGTGGCTGAATGTAAAATAGATATATTTATTAGCTATTATATTAACAGTTGTGATCAAGATTAAAACATTTTCAGTGAATCAGAATGGGGGGAAATTGAATAGGAGGAAAGTAAAAGAAAGCAAGGAAGATAAGGAAGAGTGAGCTCAAGAAAGGGAAGGAAGGAAGGACGGAGGAAAAGGAGTGAGGGAAGGACTTAAGAAGGAATGAAAATAGAATAATAAAAAAGAAAAGTTGTATCTTGATTTTACCTGTCAGCTCTGGTAAACATGTTGTTACAAATGGATAGAAACTGCATAATTCTCTCATCAAGGTGAAGATCTTCCAGTCCCTTGAACAGGTAGGTGTGTCTAAACCAAACAAGTGGTCATAGTGAAGATCATAGTTACATTATGCTATGATAACACACACAGCAATAGGTAAAATATTATATTGCTATTAGTGCACAATGATACTATTTCCATTACATACTTTTGAGACTCTGTGCGACCACAACCCACAAAGAAAAGAAAGATATATGATCTTCAAGGTCAGGGTAAGAGATCTTAGATAAACAAAATTCTATTTGGATCTAAGAATCAAAGGGCCACATTTTAGAAAGCTGTGAAGCCAGCTCAACTTGGTGCCATTGTTTTGAGGTCACCTTGAGCTCAGGAAAGGTTCTGAAATGTCAAGACATGTATTCCATTTCTTACCTTTGTCCATCAGAACCAATAAAAACCAGTTTCTTTGGCTTGGTCTTGGTTGGTAAAATATTGATTTCATTACTGATGGAACTGATGGTGACGATCTATGAAGAGAGATAAGATTGAATATTTTTTAATGGGCTTTGATCATTCATTTGGTTACTGAGGGAAAGCAGCAGCTTTTCTTGAGTGCCCAAGAGTAATTAGCGGAGTCAAGAAACTTTGTGAGTTGGTGAGGTGAAGGATCTCATGCCTTAGGGTAGTGATGACAATAGTGATGATGGTAGTGATGATGGTAGTGGTAGTGATGATGGTGGTGGTGATGGTGGTAGTGGTGATGATGGTAGTGGTAGTGATGATGGTGGTGGTGATGGTGGTGGTGGTGATGATGGTAGTGGTGATGATGGTAGTGGTGATGATGGTAGTGGTGATGAAGGTAGTGGTGATGATGGTAATGGCAATAATGATAAATTATTGTCATATATTTTGATGTTAATGGCAGCTGCAATGATGATGATGGTTGTTACACATGACATGAAGATACTGGTGACAATGAAAACAACAGTAATGATGGTATTCTTTATCCTGATAATGATGCTGATTAAACTGTAGGTAGTCGCGATGGTAATATTAATGATACAATAATGATTGCGATATTTAAACAAAGTTACTTAGCTTACCAAAAGCCATTTTTATTTCCTACCAAATGTCCGCCATAAATACTACTGACTCACCTCTCCACCAAAGTGTGTCTGACCAGGCATGTAGATAGCTGTATTCTTCATCTTCGCCAAGACAGGACTGATGGCACTCATAACTAAACTGTAAGCCGACTTCTTCTGTGATCTTGCTTGTAAAGTTTGTACTAGCTGTTGATGAAGAAAAATGGTTAGACATATACTAGCTTGCCATTCATTTGAGAATATAATTTAAGACAGGATACAGTTATTTATTGACTGGAAAGTCTGATGGAGAAGATATATGCCAGACGTCTTGCGTGAACTAAAGTCATAGCGCTAGACCCCTTTTCAAAACTAGGCCCAGAAATTTCCTCAAGACAGGGTAGCAACTATTTTTTCATCTTTTTCAGTTTTTAACCACAATGCACCCTAAGAGGAAAAATCTCATATGCTCTTGGCAGGACTCCAACCCATATCTGTGGTATTCTAGTCCATGTGCTGACCACTACAAGAAGACAAGGTTTTGTCCCTCCACAAAACAACAACAATTCATTGGATGATGAGGCGGTAAGCCGTGTGGGATGGGCTCGGAAATCATGTAAGAACATGTGCAATAGGCTTGTAATTGACCTATTACGCATGTTCTTAAACAATTCAATGCAATATGGGCCACAGATTTTTATTTGCCACTGAATATTAAAAGCTTGTAAAAATAAGAATAATCTTATTTAGTGGGAAGTCCCTGCCAATGGTCAAATGGAATTTTTCCTATTTCTGCTCTTTTGCTTGATTTTGTTTGTACTGCATTGGCAAATCTTGTAGAGAGCATGCAGTAAAACCACGAAATAAAAACAAAGTTGATACTGAAAAATGGTAGCTATTTAATGACTAATAGTTGCTATCACTCAACCAGAACATTAATTAAACAAAAGACACAAATGGTCTCTTGTGTATTTGTCTTTGTATGATGAATGTTCTGGTTGAGTGATAGCAACTATTAGTCACTAAATAGCGATATTTGCCAGTATCAACTTTGTTTTTATTTCATGGGTTTAATGCATGCGCTCTACATAAATTCATCTTTATGATAAGAAAATGAGTGTGAACCCAACCAGCCAACCTTAGCCAAAGGCAGTAATCACAGGGTAATTTCTGACTAGAATAAAGGGAAATGTTACCTGTTTGAAGGGTTCCCAGCTTGCCTTAGGATCTGATGGTTTGTCAGGGTTTCTCAACACTTGCAGAGCATTATCTATCAAGTTACTGTACATCCGGTGGAACCACTGCTCATGGGGGGTCACTGGGGGATGATTTGTTATCTTCTGTAGTTGTTCAAGGGCAAATACAACCTAATGGAAAGAAAAAAATAAAATAGTACAGGTATTAATACGGCTTCCTAATACATAAACAGGGCTTTAATGAAGGATTTGATTTTGGTTTATTTGATTTCTGACATATTATGATAAAGTACAAATAAGGAATAAGACATAATCCTCCCCCCTCCCCCTCCCCCCCCCAAAAAACACACACACACCCCAAACATACAAAAGGATGTATACGTTAGTCATATATCATTTATTAAGAAAAATTAAAGGTGTGTCCATTTCAATTTTTGCACACATTTTTGGGTTAATGGAAGCTCTGGAACAGTATGTTTATGCAATGGGGATGCACACATTTTTGGGTTAATGGGAGCTCTGGAACAGTATGTTTATGCAATGGGGATACAGCTTTGGTCTATAGACCCCCCTGCATGTGACGTCAAATCCGCTCATTTTGGAGGACAAAACAAAATTTCAATATCATGAGAATTGGAAACCTGTTGTCATGTCCTCCAAATAGCCCACTTCTGAGATATGCTTCACTTGTCATGCACAAAGGTTCCAGTATGAGGCTACATGCTAAATGCTCAGTCATTCGTGAGAGGTGGTAAGGATAAATTTAATTTAGCACGTAGCCTCATACTGAAACCTTTGTGCGTGACAAGCGAAGCATATCTCAGAAGTGGGTCTTTGAACTGCATTCAGACATGCTGCAAGAGGTCTACTGACATGAGAAATTAGAACATGCTTGCGATGCTTCTTACCGGCTTCATAATAGCAATGTGTTTTTCTTTTATCAAGGTCATTTTCTGCTGCTCATTCAGCGTTGTGTTATTGTTTACTCTTTTGATTTCCTCATCTAGCTGCTGCTGCCTTCGTAGCACCTCCTGATGGTTCTGCACCAAAGATCCAAGCCACAACTCCTCCCAAAGAAGAGTTATTCTCCTCAACTCCTGAATAAACTGCCGCAGCTCTGATACAAGCTTGGGGTTGACAGACTGAAGCGAGTCTACTATGGTCCTGTAGCAGCTCTCCATGGAGCTGTCACTTTCCTGTTTGACAGGTTGGTCAGTTGTTTCCATAGAAACCGACTGAGAGCCATTCTGACTGGTTGATTTGTCCTGGATGTTGGCAACCAGGAGTGGAAGAAGACCTGAACAGAAACATCAAATGTCAAAGTAAATTTTGGACCTTCTCCAAATTCACTTGTCTGAGAGACCACCAAACAATGGCTCTCAGCTGATATTCATACATGTACTGTATTTCATTACACATTTAGGGTAAATATCTGTGTGATACGATGTCACTTCACAGTAAATTGAAAACTGTACATTTTCTCATTTTATTGACCCTAAATATGTAATAAACAAATGATTACATGCTAAGAGCCTGATATCTTTCTCTTAAGTAGTAAATGAACCTTTTTAGAGTTCCAAATTACTCCTGTGCTCATTGATTACAGACTCATTTACTCAGGGTTAGCCTCGTATCAGTGTTAAAATATTCACAAATACCATCAGTAAAGTAAAGAATGCACAACTTTAACAATACAAACACTTTGAAACTTGACGGACCTTCACTGGAACATTAGAATATTCGGCACAAAGTCAAGGCTAACCCTGAGCAGCAGAGAACTTGAAACTGGAGTATTCTATGTTTGCATCCAACAAGGCTTTGTCGGTCAAATATTAATAATATTCCTAAATGAATCAAGGTATCTTATTTGGGTACCTTCACTTTCTTTGTTCTTGCTGAGAAACTGAGGCACTGAGCTTGTTGATCCAACCACTGCAGGGTAAACAATGAGATGTGGGGCATCTGAAGCAACACGGCACAACAGCTCTGATACACTTTGACGTACATATGCTTCAGGGTGATTAAGGCGTGAAAACAGCTGAGGTATAATATCTTAAGAAAAACCAAAAGACCTCAGTTAAGTCAACCACACCCATACCAATATCTTTACCTGTCTATGGTCTAGTTGGACCTGTTAGGATAACCACACCCATACTAATATCTTTACCTGTCCATGGTCTAGTTGGACCTGTTAGGGTAACCACACCCATACTAATATCTTTACCTTTCCATGGTCTAGTTGGACCTGTTAGGGTAACCACACCCATACTAATATCTTTACCTGTCTATGGTCTAGTTGGACCTGTTAGGGTAACCACACCCATGCTAATATCTTTACCTTTCCATGGTCTAGTAGGTGTATGTGCAAGCCCTTCTTCCAGAACACTCCTGAGTTCCCCAGCATGTTTTACCAGGAGACGCAGTAGCCTTAAGGTGGCTGTTACATTTCCATCATCATTACTCTTGTTGATCTTTCTATTCCTGCCAGTGTTACTTGGTTCATTTGTTGCATGCTGTAAAGTAGCAGCCCAAGATAAGATAATTAGTATTATCATAATGATTGACAGCTGTCACTCAGTTTTACTTGGTTCATTTGTTGCATGGTATTTAACAGCAGTCAAAGATAAGGTTATGATGATTGGCAGATGTCACTCACTGTTACTCAGTTTAAATTTTTCTCACAGTAAATAAACAGTCATCATGCAAAATTGACAGCTGTCACTTACTCATGTACACTCAGTATGCTACATATTTGACAGCAACATCTTCTTATGAAATAGGTAGGCTAATAAAAATACAGATCCATATCTGGAAGTGGAACTTACCCCTTTGCCAATCTTTAGGTACATGAAGTAAGCCTTAGCAGCATAGTGATAGTGCTTAAAGAGTCTGTCCCGTACACCCTTCCATATTGATAAAAGTGTTTCAAGAGAGCCTGGGTCAGCACCATGGAGGGATGGACAGGCTTGTAGGAGAAGCTTTCTAGTGATGTCCATACTGTTATCATAAAACTATAGCAAATAATTAAAAATATTATAAATACACATAATCATTAAATTACACTGTGGTTACCACTCAACCAAAAATGTAAGATACAGTCAATGTTATCAACGTTGTCCACCGAAAAAAGACATTTACACATTTACACATTTACACATTTACATGTAGACATTTACACCTTTAGACATTTACACATTTACATGTAGACGTTTACACGTTTAGACATTTAGACTAAAAGAAATATCATGGGTTTTCTCGAACGTTCTGTCATGAAACAAAAGCTGAAATACCATTCTCCATCTTAAATCCTCACTAAGTGATCAGGGCATTCTGGATTTTTGATTCACGAATTGAATTTTACATTTAAAGTTCAGGCTGACGCACATGAGGCAAAGAATACATAATGAAACACGTGATATTTCTTTTAGCCTAAATGTGTAAATGTCTTTTTTTGGTGGACAACATTAATGACACTGACTGTATAAATGAACGTGACATTAAAAAGATACATACCTGATCATCATCTCCAATGTCTTCATCATGTGGTTGACTATCAGCAGAATGTGCCTGTCCTAGTTCTGATAATACAGCATCTATCTCCTCCTCACTGGCACTCTAACAAGTGATACACAAACAGTAAAGAAGATAGGTTAGACTTTGTTTGTAAAACATGCAGAGTTCGAGGTATACATTAATATTAAATAGAATCAAATCATCCTCATTTATTGCATTCAGCTTTAGTAATGATGATGATGATGACGATGATGAT